AACATGAAGTTATATGTTTTTACTTGAATTCTTGGGATTATGACAGAAATAATTCACACCAAAATCTTGTCAGGATATTTTAAAAGCAAAAAAAGCATCTTATCTACAAAATATCGCAATAAATATCGTACCGTGAGATGCGTATCGTGATAATATCGTACCGAGACATTTGTTTTGGACGTTTAAAGAGCAGATTTACACACGGCGCATTTAAAGGGTCCATAAACCACACCCCCCGTCTGTTTGATTGGATGTTTTACTGTCCACTGACTAAAAATCATAAACTCAACATGTCTAAAAGCTTTCACATTTTATCGCACGTGGACAGTTTTATGTGTACAGGAACATAAACTCCAACTGTGTGGGACGATAAAACAAATAAGACAGACGGGATGAAACTGAACTGAAATGTGCACGACCAGCTGATCCTCCAACAGGCACTACTGATAATTAAAGGTCCGTCTTAAACTATCTTCTGATCTTTGTTTTTTAATGTTTCCTCATCAAAAACTTACTCAGGATTTAGTTTTGTTTCATTCACTCATGTTTAACACACAAACTTTACATATTCAGGCTGAGTTCTTCTCTCAAAGGGAAAACAGTCTGTTCCACCTCGTGATGTCATGTGGTGATACGGGCAGTGCTCCACATACCAGAGTCCTGCACCAGGCCGGGTACCAGCGGGTCCTGGTTTAGACTTGCTTTAGTCCTGGTGTAGTCCTGGTGTAGTCCTGATCCAGTCCTGATGTAGTCCTGGTCCAGTCCTGGTGTAGTCCTGATCCAGTCCTGGTGTAGTCCTGGTCCAGTCCTGATGTAGTCCTGGTGTAGTCCTGGTCCAGTCCTGGTGTAGTCCTGGTGTAGTCCTGGTCCAGTCCTGGTGTAGTCCTGGTCCAGTCCTGTGTAGTCCTGGTGTAGTCCTGGTCCAGTCCTGGTGTAGTCCTGGTGTAGTCCTGGTGTAGTCCTGGTGTAGTCCTGGTCCAGTCCTGGTGTAGTCCTGGTCCAGTCCTGGTGTAGTCCTGGTGTAGTCCTGGTCCAGTCCTGGTGTAGTCCTGATCCAGTCCTGGTGTAGTCCTGGTCCAGTCCTGGTGTAGTCCTGGTGGTGTAGTCCTGGTCCAGTCCTGGTGTAGTCCTGTCCAGTCCTGGTGTAGTCCTGGTCCAGTCCTGGTGTAGTCCTGGTGTAGTCCTGTCCAGTCCTGGTGTAGTCCTGGTCCAGTCCTGGTGTAGTCCTGGTCCAGTCCTGGTGTAGTCCTGGTCCAGTCCTGGTGTAGTCCTGATCCAGTCCTGGTCCAGTAGTCCTGGTGTCTAGTCCTGGTGTAGTCCTGGTGTCCAGTCCTGGTGTAGTCCTGGTGTAGTCCTGGTGTAGTCCTGGTGTAGTGTAGTCCTGGTCCAGTCCTGGTGTAGTCCTGGTCCAGTCCCGGTGTAGTCCTGGTGTAGTCCTGGTCCAGTCCTGGTGTAGTCCTGGTGTAGTCCTGGTCCAGTCCTGTGTAGTCCTGGTGTAGTCCTGGTGTAGTCCTGGTCCAGTCCTGGTGTAGTCCTGGTGTAGTCCTGAGTCCTGAGTCCTGGTGTAGTCCTGGTCCAGTCCTGTGTAGTCCTGGTGTCCAGTCCTGGTCCAGTCCTGGTCCAGTCCTGGTGTAGTCCTGGTCCAGTCCTGGTGTAGTCCTGGTGTAGTCCTGGTCCAGTCCTGGTCCAGTCCTGGTGTAGTCCTGGTAGTCCTGGTCCAGTCCTGGTCCAGTCCTGGTGTAGTCCTGGTGTAGTCCTGGTAGTCCTGGTGTAGTCCTGATGTAGTCCTGGTCCAGTCCTGGTGTAGTCCTGGTCCAGTCCTGGTGTAGTCCTGATAGTCCTGGTGTCCAGTCCTGGTGTCCAGTCCTGGTGTAGTCCTGGTCCAGTCCTGGTGTAGTCCTGGTCCAGTCCTGGTGTAGTCCTGGTCCAGTCCTGGTCCAGTCCTGGTGATCGGCTCTGTGGTTGCAACATATTTATAATCCGTAGGTGTAGGTTTAGTCCTGGTTTAGTCCTGGATTAGTCCTGGTTTAGTCCTGGTTTAGTCCTGGTTTAGTCCTGGTTTAGTCCTGGTTTAGTCCTGGATTACTGGGCTATGGACTTTTTCAAAACAAAAACCAGTGAGCGACGTTTACAATAAAAAAATAAATAACACAAACTGCGTAAATAATTGTCGGCGTTAACGAATCAATTAGTTAACGCGAAATTAACAAAACAAAAACATTGACGTTTAAAGGCGGCGGCCGTAACACGTCCTGGGTTCCATCTTCCACCCGCCTGCCCGCCCTTCCCCCTCTCGCGCTCCCCCGCTCCTGTCACGATGATGGACCATCCCATAATCCCGTCTGATACGAGCTCCTACCCATAATGCACCGCTGCAGACGACGCCGGCCCCTCCATCCACATCACTCACGGGGGGAGGAAGGGGTTAATAAAGCGCAGTTGTTTACGGCGTTTGGCTCCGTCCGATGCGACGCGAGGTCCGGCGAGGTCAGCTGGGATGAGGAGTCTCGTATATTTGTGTAATTTAAAGCGCCGGACGTGATGTTTACTGTTTTTAAGACGGTGGGAAAACGGAGCCGGGTCGTTTTTAAAAGGTTTGCGTTTGCGTTCAAAACATCGTAATTATTCACCGACATGAGATTAGAAACGTTTTTCCACAACATTCAGAGGCCACAACTAGCATTCTAATGTGCTCTTCCTGATTCTCTGACAATAAAAAGACAAACAGACAGTACAAAGAAGACTTAGTTTGACCTCAAGAAATGCTTATACAATATATCTGTATGAGAAAGAAAAAAAAAATTGCTCAAATACTTTTTAGTCCTGTTTTAGTCTTGTTTTAGTCCTGTTTTAGTCTTGGTTTTAGACCTGATTTAGTGTTGGTTTAGTCCTGGTTAAATCCTGTTTTAGTCCTGGTTAAATCCTGTTTTAGTCCTTGTTTAGACTTGGTTTAGTCCCAGTTTAGTCTTGGTTAAATCCTGTTTTACTCCTGGTTTTAGACCTGGTTTAGTCTTGGATAAATCTTGTTTTAGTCCTGGTTTAGACCTGTTTTAGTCCTGCTTTACACCTAGTTTAGTCCTGGTTTAGACCTGTTTAAATCCTGTTTTAGTCCTAGTTTTAGTTCTGGTTTTAGATCTGGTTTTAGACCTAGTTTGGACCTGGTTTAGTCCTGGTTTAATCCTGGTTAAATCCTGTTTTACTCCTGGTTTAGTTCTGTTTTAGACCTAGTTTAGACCTGGTTTTAGTCCTGGTTTTACTCCTGGTGGTTTTAGTCCTGGTTAAATCCTGGTTTAGTCCTGGTTTTAGTCCTGGTTTTAGACCTGGTTTAGTCCTGGTTTAGACCTGGTTTAGTCCTGTTTGAGACCTGGATTTAGACCTAGTTTAGACCTGGTTTAGTCCTGTTTAAATCCTGTTTTAGTCCTGGTTTTAGACCTGGTTTAGTCCTGTTTGAGACCTGGATTTAGACCTAGCTTAGACCTGGTTTAGTCCTGTTTAAATCCTGTTTTAGTCCTGTTTGAGACCTGGATTTAGACCTAGCTTAGACCTGGTTTAGTCCTGTTTAAATATTGTTTTAGTCCTGGTTTAGACCTGTTTAAATCCTGTTTTAATCCTGGTTTTAGACCTGGTTTAGTTGTGTAATTTAAAGCGCTGTACGTGATGTTTACTGTTTTTAAGACGGTGGAAAAACGGAGCCGGGTCGTTTTTAAAAGGTTTGCACTTGTCCGGAGTTATTCCTCGCTTCAAAACATCGTAATTATTCACCGACATGAGATTATAAACGCTTTTCCACAACATTCAGAGGCCACAACTAGCATTCTAATGTGCTCTTCCTGATTCTCTGACAATAAAAAGACAAACAGACAGTACAAAGTAGACTTAGTTTGACCTCAAGAAATGCTTATACAATATATCTGTACGAGAAAGAAAAAACAATTTGCTCAAATACTTTTTAGTCCTGTTTTAGTCTTGTTTTTAGACCTGATTTAGTGTTGGTTTAGTCCTGGTTAAATCCTGTTTTAGTCCTTGTTTAGACTTGGTTTAGTCCCAGTTTAGTCTTGGTTAAATCTTGTTTTAGTCCTGGTTTAGACCTGGTTTAGTCCTGGTTAAATCCTGTTTTAGTCCTGGTTTTAGACCTGGTTTAGTCTTGGATAAATCTTGTTTTAGTCCTGGTTTAGACCTGGTTTAGTCCTGCTTTACACCTAGTTTAGTCCTGGTTTAATCCTGGTTAAATCCTGTTTTACTCCTGGTTTAGTTCTGTTTTAGACCAGTTGGGCCCAGCTTTTTTGTTAATAATTTGCCTAATTTGAGCCTTTGTTAAATTATATCTTTTTTGGCTTTATTAATTAAATTTAAACTTATTTTTATACCTTGTCTTTGCCTTTCTGTTTGGTCCACTACAGCCTTATTTCATGTTCTTATTTTCAAGTGTATTTTTTTCATTTTATGTTTTACACATGGCAAAACTGCTCTAAGGTTCATACTTGAAGCCTATATTTATTTACAATTTGAAAGTTTTGCGTAAATTATCAATAAAATAGAGAGAAATACTGAATAAATGCATTGTTTAACTAAAAAACAATCGTGATCATGATTTTTTTCCATGATCGGGTGATGTGTCCTCCGAAGGGTAGAAAAAAGTATCAAAAATCAGACACTAATAAATAAAAAAGCTAGTATGGAGACTAGATTTTCATTTTAGCAGGTATTGATACTAAAAAAGACACAAATGAACCTTTCCTGAAGCTTTAGAATGATCTTGAGCTGGATCAGAACAAGTATAAGCGCACACAGACGAGTCGACGCCCGTGGTTTGAGTCCTGCCCGCTCCTCCTCCTCTCCTCACAAATCTCTTCTCGTTCATTCATTTTTATTCTACTTACTGGAACAACGTACTTAGATCTTTAATATAATTTTACAAACCGTTTTCCGTGCCCGAGGGGCCATCAAGCGCTCACTCCATTAGCGCCGGAAAACTGCTGAAACGACAACTTTTCACTTACCCACAATCCCCCGGGGCACGGCGAACTTTTGACCCGGCGTGATGTTTTGAGACGAGGATTGGGTAATAGAAGAACAGCGATTACTCCACCTGATCCGCTCCTCTGCTCCTCTTTTAAAAGGAGAAATGTATAGTTCAGATTTTAGAGGAAGAATTTTCACTTTTGTTCTGTTTTTTGTTTTTATTTTTAATTATTGTAATTTTGGTTAAATGTTATTATTGCCTATATTTTTGATTATTTTATTATTTATTTATTTATTTATTTATTTATTATTATTATTATTATTATTATTATTTATTTTATTTTATTTTATTTTAATTTTTTTTATTATTATTATTATTTTTAAATTTTGACTAGTTTTGTGTTAAAGGTGCATTGTTTAACACATGTTTAACAGACAAACCTGCTTAGTTCAGAAAACGCCGTTCCACCTTGTGATGTCAAGGATGTACAGGAAGTGCTCCACTGTGTTTTTAAACTCCACACACCTTCACTAGAATCATTTGGATAATTTCAGCCCCTTGAACAGAATCTCCTGTCCTCAGTAGGGGCCATTCTTTCTACATGGGGAAAAAAAAAACACCAACAATATCTAGGTGAGTTAAAATGACTTAAATTAAGAATATTTTACTTTATTTAAGTCGATTCAACTTCACAAGTAAAATTATCCACCGATGGAGTAAGTGTGTTTTTCTAAATACAAGCAACATTACATTTTGTTTCTTATTTTAGTTTTTTTTTTTGTGTAGCAAGATGTATTTTCATATTTTAAAGGTTGTATGGAGGATTTTTTTTTGTTTCAAATTGTCAATGATAGCATTATAAAGGTGCAGTAGCCTTGTAATTATGATGACCAAAAAAAAGAGAATAAAAATTCATCAACTCTGGACGTGGTGGGGCTAAACATTTGCCAATAGATAACGACACTGCCTCGTTATCTGTGAGCTGACAGGCTGTCAATCAAACTCCCTACGTTTCTAGTGTAACTGACTTGCCTGCGCCGCCGGTACGTGGTTTACGTACGACTGTCACGCAGTCCACAGACGCAAGACGCACAGACGCTGTTTACTCCACCAACGCAACAGTTCTTAGCGGCTTTTTTTGACCTATATCTTCCTCGCAGTTCGCACAAAGTTTGTTGCGATGGCGACAAGAATCCAGGAGCAGTTCGCCGCAAAAGAAAGTCCGTTTTTGAGGTTGCTGAAAGAAGAAGACAAGGGGAAAAGCAGCGAAGTCAAACTAAGGTGATTCTTGAAGATTCATTCCAGCGATGGCGCGACTGAAGCAGACGCAGGGTCTAAAGACTGACGCACTGGTCCACAAATTACTCCTGGACAGGAAACTTCTGCTTATTATGAAAACTTACTTTATTTCCAAGAGCAAGACAAACGTTTTTCAGGACACGAAAGCGATATCCTATGTCTGAAAACGTAATTTTCAAGGCAAAGAAAGAGTCCGCTTGCTGCTGCGTGTTGTAGCTAGTTCATTCGCACTGAATCTCCGCGCAACCTTCTCTGCACCCCTTTCCTGCTCCTCTCCCCGCTGCCCGATCCACTCTTCTCCCTGCTCCTCACTTCTCCGGGCACGGAATCTCCGCACACCTGCTCCCCCCGCTCCTCACTTCTCCGTCTTGCCTAACCAACACTGTAGTTAGTTGTTTACAAGTCATGTGCAGCACCGGCTGTAAACAAACCTGTTTCTGGCGTAAGGAGGAGGAGGGAGGAGGCGTTTCTACGTAGGAGCTGTAGGGGAGGGGGGTGGTTTCACGCATGTGCAACATTTGAAAAAGGACAAACAGTTGCTGGATTTCTCGTTCCTTGGAAAATCCTCTATACAACCTTTAAGTCTTACTCCACAATTTTATTTGTCAAGTGAAATTTACTCAAACTGTCTTAATTCATGTCATCTTAACTTGGCTACTAGATTTAGTTTTGTGCAGTGTATGTTTATTCCTTTCACTACTACATATACTGTATGTGTGAACTGGGATTTTCTGTGCTCACAAAAATGAAAACAAAGCTCAGAAACAGACTGATCTGTGTGTCGCGTCTCCTCCTGCACCCGGACTGGAACACGCTACAGAAACACAGACAGGCCCAACTATCGCTTTAGAAATGTTGAAATGTTAAGACATGTTTTGTATCATTTCTAATCTTTCTGTAATTATTTTATTGACTATTTTGTTCCAATATTGTTGGTTCAATTGAATGCTGAAAAGAAATGGACAACACTTAATATCCAAACAGGCGACTTATTGATTCTTTTATTGCTGCTTCAGTGACTGTTTTTCATTGTTTAAAACTTGAGTACCGTATTTTCCAGGCTATAGGGCGCACTCTTAAACCTCCAACCCCATCAAAAAACGACTGCACGCCCCACAATCTAGAGCGCCCCATACACGAATCCACTCGGGCGTCCAGGCACGACTGCAGTAAACTACAAACCCGCAAACACGCACGGAGCAGACAGAGAAAAACACCCACAGACACACTCATCACTCCACGCCGTCGAGGAACGGAACGGAGGAACGAACCGAAAAAGCGAGTGCAACGTGCCGCTTCTAGACACGACTGAACAACTGAGTCACTGCGAACACGCCGACAATCCAGCGATCCCAGACACACCCTCCCTACACGCCACAACTGAACAAAGCCCAGAGTCACTGTGAACGCGTCAAACATTCGACAGTATCTCAGTTGGTGGAGCATTCGCCCACTGATCTGAAGGTTGGCGGTTTGAATCCAGCTCTCGACATAAACATCACAGGTTGAGTGGTCAGATCCACTGACCCGCAGGTTGGCTGGTGTGATTCCAGCTCCCACAGATGAATGCTGTCGTTGTGTCCTTGGGCAAGACACTTAATCCACCTTGCCCACAGTGTCTGCGTACACTGGTGAATGGGTGAGTGGTTCCTTGTTGTAAAGCGTTTTGAATGCCTTGAAAGTGGAAAGGCGCTATAGAAAACATATATACTAAACAAAGTCCCACTGACTCCATCCAACTGTTGTTCCATTCCATTTTCTTCTGCTTATCCGGGGCCGGGTCACGGGGGCAGCAGTCTGAGAAGGGCCTCCCAGACTTCCCTCTCCACACACACGTCCTCCAGCTCTTCCAGGTGAACCCCGAGGTGTTCCCAGGCCAGCCCAGAGACATAGTCCCTCCAGCGTGTCCTAGGTCTTCCCCGGGGCCTCCTCCCGGTGGGACATACCCGGAACACCTCCCGAGGGAGGCGCCCAGGAGGCATTCGGAACAGATGCCCGAGCCACCTCAACTGGCTCCTCTCAATGTGGAGGAGCAGTGGCTCTACTCCGAGCTCCTCCCGTGTGACTGAGCTCCTCACCCTGTCTCTAAGGGAGCACCCAGCCACCCTGCGGAGGAAACTCATTTCGACCACTTGTGTCCGCGATCTTGTCCTTTTGGTCATTACCCAGAACCCATGACCATAGATGAGAGTAGGAACGTAGATTGACGGTAAATCGAGAGCTTCGCCTTTCGACTCAGCTCCTCTTCACCACAACGGTCCGATACAGCGACCGCATCACTGCCGACGCTGCACCGACCCTGCCTCAAGTGGAGGAGTTCAGATATCTGGGGGATCCAACTGTTATGTTTCGTTTAAAGTCCGGTGCGGTTTATTTGTGAAAAAAGTTGGAAAATAGACCATTTAATGACAGAGTGCCTTATAATCCAGAGAGCCTAATAGTGCGGAAAAAACTGTAATACTAATTGTTCAGAGAAACATAAAACATCCTCATTAATGTTCAGTAATGGTCAAATCCACCTTTATTTTGTGATTTATGAATAGGTTTGTGACTTTTAAAATATGAGTCCCCTGAAAAAAGTTGTAAACAGTGTAATAATAAAGAATTACTTAAACATATAATGAAACAAAACACAACTCCAGGTCAGTTTTTGATGAGATACAACATGATAACATGACTTAAAGCTCACAAGAGTCAATTTGTGCAATATAGGAGCTTTAAGTTTCAGTTTTCCCGTTCCTTTTTAAAAACGAAGGTTGTGAGAGCTGGAGTTTTGCGTGCAGATGTTTTTAAATAAGACATAACCCGAGCTCATCTCCATACTGTTTACCTGTACAGACGCAGAGTTTGGCTTACACCGGGAGCCCTGTCTCTTCTCATCACCGCGGCGCTTTGTTATGTAGACGCATTTTAATTTGTCCTCGTGTTGGTGGACATTTGCAAACCAAATCCTGGTACTTTTGCATTCGAAAGTTTAAATTACATCCAGGAAAATAAAGAATAAACAAGGACGGAGCAGAGATGAAAACGCAAAACGCAATATCCATCAAAGTAAAGGCCAAAATCAGCAGCGTCTCCTTTGTGCAGGATTACAATGGCGAGGTCATTTGAACAGGAAATATTAAAGAAGACCTGCTGCGTGTGGCTCGACGTGGATCATTGTGTTTTACTTTGGACGTTTGAAATCGCAATATTCATCTAAAACGACTTAATGAAAGAAACTAAGAAAACTATGGTGCCTAACAGGAGCAGACATCGCCTTAAATATTATCACAACGAAGAGTCTGTGTCCTGCTGAAATGGCCTACCCGTCGATTTGAGCTCCTGAGGCAGAAGTGGAGTAACAAGACAACAGACTGCAGCCTGAAGTGACTCAAATCTGATTTTTTCACCCCTTTGCGACCTGTGTTACGACCCGGGTGGATCAAACATATTAATGAGGACACAGGAGGCGAAAAGGTTACAAAAGTAAAAGATGTTTTTATTTTTAAGTTCATTTTAATTCACTTTAAAAACGCTAAAACCCCTCCCGTGCCCAAAAACAAAGTAACAACTGAAAAGGTTGGGGCGGCAGTAGCTCAGTTGGTGGAGCATTCGCCCACTGATCTAAAGGTCGGTGGTTTGAATCCAGCTCTCAACATAAAAAAAAAAAAAACATCACAGGTTGAGCGGTCAGATCCACTGACCCACAGGTTGGCTGGTGTGATTCCAGCTCCCACAGATGAATGCTGTCGTTGTGTCCTTAGGCAAGACACTTAACCCACCTTGCCCACAGTGTCTGCGTACACTGGTGTGTGAATGTGCGTGTGAATGGGTGAGTGGTTCCTTGTTGTAAAGT